AGCACCCCCTCATCCCATTATGAATTGCTGAAGTTCACATGGGCACAGTAGCTATGGTACGACCTTTTGCTTTTTTCATACAGTGAGTAGTCTCGTCAAAGTCGTTGCAGTGATACGTCCAACATTTCTCAATCATGCAGTGATGCAGTGACTTTAACAGACATAATAAATTAAAGGACTCAATGAAATGGCCACAGTAAACAGCGTACGGATGATTGGTCTTTTTTGAAAAAGTGAGTAGTCACTTTCGAGTGACGATTAAAGTACTGATTGTGTGGAGCGTGTTTAGCATTGATTATTTATTACTTATAAATATGTGGGCTTTTAATGGCATGTGACTTTGTGCAGTGCGACTTAGATGCTTTGTTTTTTTCTCACATTTCATATTTGAATTATTAATCACATTAATACGACCACATGACAATAGTGTTGACAAACAACTATATAAAGGACTGAATGAGTGATGGTAAATACATAACCTTTCCACTCAGTTCTCCCTAGGAAACTATCATTCATTTATTGAGAAAAAATCAAATGGAGTATACATTCACAGCAAGGGGTAGAAATTGCAGAGGTGAGAGTTCACGACGAGGAAGAGGAACAGGAAGGCGACTCGCAGGGGGTAGGAACTTCGAAAAAGGTGAGAGTTCACACCGATGAAGAGGAACGGGAAGGAGAAATGGCGATGCTGAAGTTGAAACACCGTTTGCTTTGGTAGATGCCTCTTGTACTTATCATGATAGGTTTAGGAAGCGACATTTTGTCATGCTCAAGTACTATCGAGATCCATGTGGTTTTGTGGAGGATCCATTTGTTAATCAAATAGGATATGGTTTAGCAGACGCTACACTTCTGAAGTGGCCCGCACTATTTATAGAGCGTGTGCAAATGGAAAGATTTTGTCGAGAAAATCGACTGAAGGTGCCGAAAGCACATTCAGTTGAGATCCAAATAAAAGATCCAAATAATGTTGATCGACTATATGAAAGACTTCGACGAGAGATTTCTCAAATGCGTCGTAGGTCAGCCCACGATATGAAACTATCTATACTTAAGTTGGATGCCAAGAAGAACGGAACAGCACCAAATGGTGAGGCTATCAAGGAGGATCCTGCACTTCTTTCTGACCTGAGCTCTCAGATTGTTCGGACTCTGAGATTGTCGATTTGAACGAGGATTAGGCGTCTATCTGTCTACTAAATTATATTAGGTTATCCATAATTATGTATTGTGTGTGTTAAAATAACTCTTTAGATAATTATGTATTATACTTGTCGCTTTATTTTATGTATTGTGTTATGTTAAATGTTTCCACAAATTATTTTTGTGGGATACTTATGTTTGAACTAGTTACATCGTTCTAAAGTGTTATAAGTGTTATAGTCATACCTTTATTTTGTTTTGCTGTTCGTAGTAGTAATTCGCAAATTAGATACTTTGTATATGATGTGTGAAGTTTTATTTAAATATTTCTTGGCAACAAATATTTAAGGGAACAACAAATATTTAGTTTCAAAAATTCCACGAAAGTACGCTTAGTTTGGGAAATAAATTAGTATAAGGGCTTAGTTTGGGAAAAACCCCATCAAAATCTCTCTAAAACTACGCAAAATGTTCTCTGGGGAGGGTGCGTGTGTCGAGGCCATTATTTTCTTCTTCTTTTTTAATTTTTAATTTTTTATTTGTTGTTTTTATTTTTGCCCATCATCGATGTTTTTTAAATTATATTTGAATTATAAACTTAAATAAAAATTTAAAAAAACAAAATAATCAGGTAAATTAAGCGAATATTTAATTTATATTTTTTCATATTCTTTTTTACTTTTATATTTTTAAAGTCATAAGCGGTGATCATTGATTCAATAGTAAAATCTTAGTCTAATAATCTTTGATATGATGTTTATACTTGCTTGTTTGTAGTTTTCTTTTTATTTTTTTATGACACATCGTTGCAGCTTAAATCAGAACTTTAGTTTTAGAGCTCTTCATCACTACTCTTTAGACAATTCATGCTGTTTGTTTTTTAAAAAATTTATGTATAAATTATTTATATAAATATCAAATTGATCTGATAATCGTATATATAATTTTATCATTTTTTTTAAATAATGGATGAGAAACATAATTTCAAATTAGATAATTTATTTTTAAATATTAAAATAATAAAATTTGGTAGCTAAGATTATTTATCAATACGATATTTTATATATATGAATAATTTATATAGAGATCTAAAAGATGACTGAGTGAATTATAGAATGTGGATTGAAGAGAAATCAATCAAAATAATAATAATAATAAATAGTTTTTTACTAATTTCAGATGCTGGACAAACTAATTTCGGGGGCTTTTAAAAGCGTTGTTACAAACCACGCTTTCTTTTAAAAGTAAATTTTCTTTAAAAGCGTGGTTACAAATCACGCTTTCTTTTGAAAAGCGTGTTTCCAAATCGCGCTTTCACTTAAAGATGAAAACGTTAATAGGAATAACGTTTTCTTAATTAAAAGCGTGTTTTATAACCACGCTTTTATGATTTTATTCATTTTGTGCGCTTGGGCCAGAAACATGCTGAAAGCGTATTTTGTAAACACGTTTCAACTTATTTTGAGAATTTCAACCAAACAAGACTTAGTTTGAGAAATAACTTAATAGGTAGGCCTATTTTGGAAAAAGCCTCTCACACTGCATGCATAAACTATAAAAAATTGTATTCTCACACTGCATGCATAAACTATAAAAAATTGTATTAAGTTTTGTACCGTGAAGTTTCTCTCATCCAACATTGTGAGGAATTATTATTATTTTTTTTTTATCACACTTAGAAATAGATTTCTTGATTTTCAAAAATAGTAAATATTGTAAATATGACTAAGTTCCATTTTTCACTGAGCAATGTGGGGATATTTCTGATATAATCCATTACCATTGCCTTCTTCCATATTATAAGCAAAATAGCATCTCTTTCGTGATGACTAGGCACACACATTACATCACATGTAGATCTCATTTATTATCACATTATTAGAACTCTCTTTAGAGTTATAAAATTAGAACTCTCAATCTTTATTCATTGTCATGTAGTGATTCAATATGATTGGTTAAAATTGTAAGACTCAATATTTTTATGTTAAATTAGTGGGGGACAACTTGACATGTGTCAAATGTTTAGGGGTGTGGTACAATATCCCTAAACCATCCAATAACCTCTCCACACCAAGCATACATTTCGTTTAATTTTGAAATTATTTTTTAAAAATAGTTTTTAGATCAGTTTTCATAAGAGTTTTCAAGATTCAAAATCTATTTGATTATCTCAAACTAATTTTCAATTGTATATTTTGTAAATACTTTTTAAAAATTGCAAAATTCAAAATTTGTTTAGTTACGAGTTTTTAAAACTAATTTTTGAATTTTTTTGAGACTTGTGTTTTATTTTATCTTGTAGTCAAAAAAATTTTACAATATTATAGTTAAATTTGTTTACTTTACATATACTTAATTTAAATTTATTTTTTAGATACATCTAATCTAATTTATAGGACAAAGTTTCACTTCATATTTTTTATGGATGTTTTAAAATTTTTACTATTTCTTTTTCTAGTTTTATATTCACTCAATTTACATACATTTAAAACATAAATCAAACCAAACCAAACCAAGCCTTAAATCCCATCAAATAGGATCGGCTAAATGAATCATTTTTCTCTATGCGGCTCTATCAAAGGCCATTTCGTTAGTCAAATTTCATACATTTAAAACATTTCACATTTAAATGTAACTTTTTTTATAAAATTACTGAATAATGAGAAAGATATAAAATAAATAAATAAATAAAAAGCATTGATCAAGTTTAAAAATAATACATTTTTAATATTTTATGTATTTGTTATTATTATTATTTTGCATTCTTTACATTTTGCTTACTGTGTAAGTCTATCTAGATCATATAGATCTAAAACATAAAAAGTTATTTAGCCAATTTGTAAAACTAAATAAATCAATTTTGTGAAAATGATAAACCAAATAAATTTTGAATTTTAAAATAAATTTTCAAAAATACTAAACCAAATAAATTATAAGTATTAAAATGAGTTTTTAAAAATTCTAAGTTTTAAATTTTAAATTTTGAATTTTAGAATAAGTTTTTAAAAATCTTAAATCCAATGAATTTTCGATTTTGAAAAATTGATTGAAAAATTCAACCAAACGGAGCCCCAAGTTATTCATTAAACCGTAGTGTATAGACACCCGAGTTCAGATCCTCGGCCGCACACTCCTGCAACCCTCCCTATAGCCCTACAAAACGACGTCGCTTTGTATTTTTTTTTCTTTTTCTCATTTCTTTCTTATTTTGCTTTCCTCTTTCCATTTTTGAACCCTAGACTAGACAGACCGACAGAGGTGACGATCTGGACGAGAGACCGATAGAGGTGACAAACGGAGAGGAGAGGCGAGGCGATGAACGGAGAGACGACAGAGGCGAGGCGAGGCGAGAACAGACAGTGGTGGGGCGACTGGAGCAGCGATAGACTAACAGAGAGAGTTGGCGAGAGACGAAGAGAGAAGGTGACGAGGTTCGTTTCTCTCCCTTTGGTCTTCATTATAGATTAGTTTTGTATCATTTTTAGTTTTTCGGAAATTGGTTCACATGTTTTCAAAAACAGACGAAAAAAAAATCATTTTTATTATTGTGCACAAATATATCTATCTATTCATCTATACTATTATAAAGTGAACAAAAAAATAGATAGATGAATAGTAGAGACTTGAACCTTAAATTTATATCAAATGAATAAGACTCTTACCACTTAATTAACATATAATAAATAATAATTTTTTATTTTATTTTTATTTATTTGAAACACACACACACCCCGGGTGTGACAACCCTAGTTAGTAATTAGTTTTGAAAGCACAAACTTATTTGTATTTTGCCCGAGATTTAATAATAATAGAAGGAAGTCCTGTGATTAAACTCACCAATAATAGACGGTTTATCAAGCAAAAGGGGGTACTTCTCCACCCTCCTCTACTCAGTTTTTTAGGGTTTTGGGTGGGTTAACTCCAACCATTCTTCTCTCTCTCTCTCTCTCTCAACCATTCGAATTTCGTTTTCATCCTATCCAGGTATGTTCCGGCTTCAATTATCCCCACAATCACTGGCTTTGTGTTTTTGATTTCATTCTTTGTTTTTCATCTCCTTATATGTAACTTTATTTTCATGGCGAGAGGCCCTGTATCATATCTATTGCGTTTATATTCATCCAAAAACAACCTCTCTAGGGTTAGGGTTCTCTTCTTCCATTCAAACCCATGCCGAGAATTGTATCCCTCGTATATATATATATATATATATATGTAATTATATAGTGATTATTCTTTATTATCATTAAAAAAGATTATTGAACACCCATGAATCTACTTATAAAATTTTGTGAACCTTAGCTCTGTTTTTTTCACTATTTTGTTAGCATTTTGGATTTGATAGAATGTGATCCTTAATCCCACAGCACATATCTATAAATCTGAATAAGCTCTGTTTTTTTCACTATTTTGTTAGCGTTTTGGATTTGATAGAATGTGATCCTTAATCCCACAGCACATATCTATAAATCTGAATAATTCCAAATCGGTTGATTACATATCTATAAATCTAAACACAAGCCTCGTCACTATGAGCACATTGACTCAATCCATGCTTACATCATCTTCAATGACTCAAACTCATGCTTCCGCCATGACTACTGCACAGTCATGTTCGCCATGACTACTGCATATTCATGTTTACATGGTTCTCTCATGCTACAGGTATCTTTCATAATACTTGGATATTCGATTTTGGTTCTTCCAATCATATGATATCAAATTTATCTTCTCTTAGTCATTGTTTCTGTGTCTTCTTCCATTACTATTTGCACTACTGATGGCTCACCTATGTATGTCATTTCTATTTGTTGTGTTCTTCTTCCTGATGTTTTCTATATTCCTCGATTGTCTCTTACTATATTATCTACTAGTAAACTTTCTAATTCCAGATTTAATGTTCTCTTTTCTTCATTTGGTTGTGTTGGTTTCCTTCTTCTCATATTACTGTTTGTATTGCCAATGGCTCATCTATGCTTGATGTTTCTATTAGTTCTGTTCTCCCTTCTTCTTCTTCTTCTTCTTCTTCTTTTTGTTTGTCTATCCCTGAAGCAGATAACCAGAACTTTGGTATAGCATTACTAAATGTTTTATATAGGGAAATAAACAGAACTTTGGCTTCAAAAGCAGATAACCATTGAAGCAGATCACCTAATATTAAAAAATATTAAATTAATATATCTAGTAGTTCAGTTTAAAAGCTTGAGTTTGAAGCATCATTTATAAATGCTCTGTTCCTTAATTTTGAAGGAAAGATGTTATTTTTAAAGGATGCTCAGTTGCCTAGGTTCCTTTGCAAGAGGTCTGAGGTTTGATTTCCCGCAATTTGTCCAATTCATAAGCTTAAGGGGTAGCTTCTAAATTGGCAGTTTACACAACTAAGTGGGTGCACAGAGCCTGCCTAGGCTGAATTGTCGGTTTCAAAAAAAAAAAAAATTAAAACAAAAATCCCTGGTATATGGGCTAACTAACTAAACCTTCCTAGTTTTCATACTCGAAATTTCCCTCTTGTTTGCCTAGTCATAGGCTTAAGGGATAGTTTTTGAATCTCGAATTTACGCACCTCCCCTAAACCGAGTTCTCTGTCAGAACAAATAAATAACGTGAACTCAATGCCATTGGGAAGACTTTTAAGTCTCTGGTATGCTATTTAATATATTTGTAAGTATTTTTATAAGTCTCTGGAAGACTTACCAATATTTATAAGTATTTTTCTTTCAATGGTTTGAAAGTGAAAGAAAATTTCAAAGAACTGCATAAAATAATTATATATACGTATATATCTATATAGCGGCCGAGAAATGAAACAGAGATGAAATGGACCTCGTCATCGCTGCAATGTCGCATTGCTGCCGGACTCGCGTCCATCCTCCATCCTCTGTCCATCTCTGTCGCCTCCATCCACCATCTGTCTCAGTTCGTTTCTCTCTTCATTTTCGCAGATTCCGCCGATCGTCTTGCAGTCTTCGCTGATCGTCTCTCTCTCTCTTTGTCCAGCTGGGCCTCTCTTCTCTCTCTTTGTCCACCTCTATGCAATGTCGCATTGCTGCTAGACTCGCGTCCCTCCTCCATCCTCTGTCCATCTCTGTCGCCTCCATCCACCATCTCTCTCAGTTCGTTTCTCTCTTCATTTTCGCAGATTCTGCCGATCGTCTTGCAGTCTTCGCTGATCGTCTCTCTCTCTCTTTGTCCAGCTGGGCCTCTCTTCTCTCTCTTTGTCCACCTCTATATGTCGTAATGGTTAGGGCTAAACAGAGAGACGAAGATAAAAGTGAAATAAACAAGCGGGAAACTCAAATTTTGGAGGGAAAAAAAAAACAACAACTAAACAAAACGACGTCGTTTTGGCGAGGGCGGCAGGGAGGGCCGCAAGAAAGTGCGGCCGAGGATCCTTACTCCAGACACCCCAGGCTTTCCTCTTGTTTCCATCTCTGCATCAACCCCTAAAGCCTAACCCTCAATGTTCCGCCACCATTAACGCCCTTATCCGCGGTTTGCAGCTACTGATCTCTCTCTTTCTCCCAGATCGGAATCATTTCATAGGTACTCTCTTTCTCTCTCTCTCTCATCCTCCCATCTCAGTTCTTATTTTTCTCACAGATCTATCCCTTCCAGCTCCCCTCCGTCTCTTGTGTGTAAATTTTTTAGAAATTTTCTCAATTGTTTTTTTATTTTTTATGTATGCATGTATGTGTATAGATTCTTCAAATGGACTAAAATCCACGATGAGATAGGGTTTCGATCTCTCAATTGTTTTTTTTCTTCTTTGACTGTTTACAAGAGACCCTTAGTTAGTATGTGTTTGTTTGTATGGAATATTTTGTTGCCTTGCCTAACGAAGTTCAGTAGTTCTGCAACTAATTTGAGTTGCTAATGATCTTGCTGTGTATTTTTGTAATCAAGGTTCATGATGAATGATTTTAGAAAATCGGTTTTCTAAACCCCTAGAATACTTCAATCAACCCACCAGTTTAGAGGATTATGTGGTTTGGTCTGTGGGAATATTCCCAACTTGCCAGAGATGGGTTTTCTCAATTTTTTTTTTTATTTTTTTTTATGTATGCATGTATGTGTATAGATTCTTCAAATGGACTAAAATCCACGAAGAGATAGGTTTTTGATCTCTCAATTGTTTTTTTTTTTCTTTGACTGTTTACAAGAGGCCCTTAGTTAGTATGTGTTTGTTTGTATGGAATATTTTGTTGCCTTGCCTAACGAAGTTCAATAGTTCTGCAACTAATTTGAGTTGCTAATGATCTTGCTGTGTATTTTTGTTGTTTGTAATCAAGGTTCATGATGAATGATTTTAGAAAATACGTTTTCTAAACCCCTAGAATGCTTCAATCAACCCACCAGCTTAGAGGATTGGGTGGTTTGGTGTGTAGGAATATTCCCAACTTGCCAGAGTTGAAAATTTCCCCCCAACCTGACTCATGCACATCCCTTCTTTCTTTGAATCTAAAGAGTTCCAGGCAAGTCTCCCTAAAAAAATATTAAAAATTCTAGTTTAAGCAAGTCTCCAATCAATGCCTAGAAAGCTTCTTAGATCCACACATCTGTTTAAGTTGGTTCGGTAGTACCCATACCACATTAGAAAATCCGTTGACACCCACGCTACTACTGCCCACCATCCTCTAGCAATTATGTAAGGCATTAGCTAGCTGTAGGACAATTCCTACCATCCGTCACATAACATATCAATCGACAATTAAGATTCAGGTAAAGGTTTTCTCTTCTGTTTTTGAATCTTCTGATTCGGTTGTTATTGTTGCCAACACTGAAACTGTGCTACTATTGAGCTTAAATAGACAGATGCGAAGGTTATGGAATTTCATGTTGTGTTCTGGAAATCATTTTTCCATCTTGTAAAGGTTTTCTCTTCAGTTTTTGAATCTTCGGATTCGGTTGTTATTGTTGCCAACACTGAAACTGTGCTACTATTGAGCTTAGATAGACAGATGCGAAGGTTATGGAATTTCATGTTGTGTTCTGGAAATCATTTTTCCATCTTAATTTACAAGGCTGAAAAATGCAATCAAATAATCTGATTTTGACCACTGACTCCGTGTTTGAAGGTTTTTCGTCCTGATCAATGGGGCCATTAAAACAGTTGCTGAACGGTTTGCTCAAAGTTATCTGTCTATCCTTACCTGTATATTAATTTATATGTGCATTAGTGTCTCGTGATTTTCTCCCCTTACTTTTAAGTGGCTGCATTACATATGTTGGATTTTTATATGATCGAATTTCGTGCCATTAAATTTTACCATAAAAAAATAATTTGTAATTTCAAATGCAGAGGAAAGGTTAGAATTTGTTAATGTGTTTGAGCCCAGGGAATTGTTCATTTCATCTGTTAAAAAAATCATTTTTTTTTTTTGTTTGAAAATTAGTTTAAATAGTGGAAATCCTATGTCTCCGTTGCCTTCTTATTTTATTTTATTTTTTTTGGCATTTGGTTGGGGGCAGAGGTGGGAGCTAGGGTGTGTTTTTTTTTTTTTTTTTTTTTGTTAAGGATTGAGATGTGGATTTATGGACATGGAAAGCTTGACTCGCCATTCAGGTTAAGAAACACTACTACTTATTGAGAATGGTACGTATCTGAGTGATTAGATGAATCAAAATTCAGATATATGTTGTGCATTAAAAAGAAGACTTTAGACAAGACTTTGAGAGATATTGCACATTGACGTATGCCGCGCAGTAGTGTACCGGCCTAAGACTGAATACTATTTATTTCATTATGCATTTAAATAACAATATAGGTTACGAGGCAACCTGTATTAACGCAGAAAGGAATGGGTTTTTGAACCATTCAATTGATGTGTTATGCTTCTCTTATTCCAGTAACCAAAAATGTTGTATGTAAAGAAAATTAAAACAAGTATCTTCTGTCTTATCTGTATTTTGGAAATATAAGCAACCATGCAACAAAGGCACCTCTATTCTTAGGTTCTCAGAATCTCTAATTAGTAGGGATTAGTCTATTGCTATTGTCTGAAATATCAGTGGACAAATACCGAAGTGTATGGTGTAGCTCAAGCCTCAAGTGTGTAACTGTCCATAAACGGGAGCTTTTAGTGCTTAAAGTGCGCTGGTATTTCTCTTTTCACTGTTAGATCTATCCCATTATGTTTTCCAATGGCATTCTATTTTTTGTTTTTTATTTTTAAATTCTCTTGCCATTAGTTCCCTCCATATTCATGGTTCAATGATATTATCTTTTTTGGGTTCACTATTTAAAAGCTTTTCTTCTAGTATTCCCAGGAAAATGATTTACTTGTTTATATAGTGATTACAAACGTTCAATGTGGTGCTGCTTTTCTACTATTATTTTTAATTAGCACCTTTATCTGTTTGAGCTTCTTTTAGCATGTTATGTAATGGGTTTGTCTTGACAATCTGATCTGTCACTTTCTTTAGAGGAGGCATGGATGGAGAAATCTCTAACATAAAGAAGTGGATCATATTGTATCCTATTTACATAAATTCAAAGAAAACAATAGCAGAGGGAAGGCGAATAAGCACAAGCAAAGCCTGTGAAAATCCTACTTGTGCTGAGATTGGTGATTGTTGCTCTCATCTTAAACTCCCATTTGCAATTGAGGTTTGTTGTTTTGAAATCTGCAATAATCTTTGTCAAATATTTGATTGCCATTGACAATCCCCTTGTCTTATCTTTTCTAAAGCGAATCTGGTGGCATTGTGATAATGGGTGGATATATTTAATTATTTACATATTCTGTGGCATGATTTGACGCAGCGGAATACACGGGGATTAGATATCGTTCTAGTAGACGAAAAGAGCTCTCGAATCCATAAGAAAAATAGAACCTTGAATCCACAAGGAATGGAAAATATCTTAATATTATTGAATAGAAGTTGAATAAAAATTGTCTTTGCCATGAGGTTTACATAGCTATTTATAATAATGTAAACCTTGGAGACCAAATATTCTTGGACACCAAGAAAACTCAAATTAGGAAATAATAAACTAATTTAATTCTTGGAAAATAAGAAACCTAAGAAATTAGAAAAACAAAATCAAAACAAATTAAGAAACCTAATAATTCTAAAATATTTATGCTAAATTACAAGAATTCTAATAAAATAATATATCAAAAATATTAAAACTAAAAATATAAAAATTCTTAACATCTTGTCCTACATCAGACTCCTCTTCTTTGAAAGAATTCATCCTCGAGTTCAAATTAGAGATCTGCCATCGTTCATGCCAAATAAAAAATACTTAGAATACTTCAGTTGTTTGTCACTCTTCCAAAAATTAAATGCAGAGAAGTCTACTTTTAGAAAGTTATTCTCCATATGCTTCAACTAGTTGACAAGATCAATTAGATAAGCATTGAAAATCCCCACACCAAGAAAATCAACCACATTTAGTAGTTGTTTGGAATGTGCTATATAAGTGCACTTTTTGATTTTTTGATTAAAAAAATAGAGAAAAAAATATGTATGTTTGGGATAACTTGAATTTTTACGAAAATATGTGTAATAAAATATTGTAGTAAAATCAAAATGACAATTTTACCCTTTTTGACTTTTAGACTTTTTGGGTAGTTGGATTCAAAGGGCAAAATAATAATTTTGCCCTAGTGGCTTTCCCCACAAGTTACTCTTGAATAGTATAGACTTTTTAGCTTTTTTAGTAACGTTTGGACTTTTTTACTATTTTAGTTTATCCCGTACATATCCTTACTTTATGTAGAACTTGCATGCTCTCTTGATGTTGCACCATCCCAAATTCAATTAATCATTCAATTATCAACCTTGGAATATCAAGTGTAGCATCAACCAATTTCTTTGTTGCACGTAGCGGTTGTATTATCTCTTCTTCTATTTTTTCTTTGTTACTGAGCTCAATCAAATCTCCTTCTTCCTCAATATTTTTATGATTTGTTTGTAAAACTTTCTCTCAAATATTCAAATTACCATGTGTTGATGCATTATCAACACTCGAACAAGACTTTGTATGTTCTTTATTAGTTTTACAAACAATCTCATCATAAATAATATTTGGATACGAATTCTTTTATTTTGCAACTACAATTTCATTGCAAATTTTTACCAACTTCATAGAAGTATATTGATTTGTATATGATAATATATCTTCATGATCATGAAAATAAAATTTTATTGCTAAAAACTTTTTCATTATTAACCATAATTGAATTTTGTCTGTACCTTTACAAACTTGATAATCTTGTAATCCATTTCACCACTTCAATGCACTTTTATCAAGTTTTTAGGATGCAAATATAATATTCTTTTCATGAGGAATCTTCATGAATTAAAAGAAATTTTCAAGATCAAGTAACCAATCAAGAAAATCTTCTTTTGGAAATTTACTTGAACTGTTAAAATATGAATTTTTTGCAAAATAACATAAGCAAATAGGTTGGCCTTGGGTGAATCCTTCAGCGCAATTGTTGTCAACTATTGGTTGCCTTTGGTTGACGATTAGTCTCAAATTGGCAAGTAGATTACAAATCTCATTGCGAAGTTCATGCACCTTTAGCCGATGTTCCTCAATCGCATCCCATATGGCTTCCACCCTATGATCAATGTCAAAAGGGATTGTGTGTTCTCCATTGTCTAGTGTCATTGAGCTAGGTGAATCTGTGCTCTGATACCACCTGACGCAGTAGAATACACGGGGACTAGATATTGTTCTAGTAGACGAAAGGGGCTCTTGAATCCATGAGAAAAATAGAATCTTGAATCCACAAGGAAGAGAAAATATCTTAATATTATTGAATAGAAGTTGAATAAACGTTGTCTTTGTCAGGAGGCTTACGTAGCTATTTATAATAATGTAAACCTTGGAGACCAAGTATTCTTGGACACCAAGAAAACTCAAATTAGGAAATAATAAACTAATCTAATTCTTGAAAAACAAGAAACCTAATAAATTAGAAAAACAAAATCAAAACAAATTAAGAAACCTAATAATTTTAAAATATTTATACTAAATTACAAGAATCCTAATAAAATAATACATCAAAAATATTAAAAATAAAAATATAAAAATTCTTAAAATCTTATCCTACATGATTTCTTGGTGAAGATTGATAAGGCATGCATATCCACGAGATTTCATGCAACAAGGAAGGGTGAGGGTATTGCTGAAAAATGAGGATGGAACTTTCTCTAATCCAGCCATTTCTTCAAGTTAGGATAGATTTTATTAATGTGAGTACCATTAAATTTCTCATTTTGCTGCTATTCTCTTTGTAATTGCATGCTAAACAACACAGCATTTATAAAAGGAAAATGAGTGAGAGCACTAATTAGTGCTACCACTAATGATGTGGCAGTGGGTCCCACTATGAATGATTTGATGTTTTGGTCTTGGTGTTATATTTTTTTTCTTTTTTTATTGAGTGTCATGTCATTAGTGGTCTTTTTAGAGCTCCAAAATTAGTGGTCTCTATCATTGTTGTTTATAAAATGTAACCTTCCTGCATAAGATAAGAATTTATGAGTCCATGATTTCATTCAAGCTGTAATCCTTTCCACCAAACTTGAACAGTCCGCAGGCCTCAACGTAGTAGAAATGAGAGGTACCACAAAATATTGATTGGTAATATACCCCTTTGAAAACCAAAACACCAGTACAATGTTCTCTTTGTCTGGTCAACAACATTTGAACCGAACGGGTTACTTCTATTAACAGTTGGCTGCAAACTTGATAAAGATGAAAAAATGTCTATGGCTTTCTTGATCACTTTTACAGAACTCATAAGCATAGGTGAGTTATAATCTTCGTTTTCCCACACCTCCAATTATGCTGGAACTCATTTTATTGACAAGAATATGAAACACATGAAGTTAATGAATTTCATTGCCATGGGTGTCTGATCTGAAATGTAAATTTGGGCTTGAAACAATAATTGAACTTCATGACTTTAACTTTGCAGTATCTTGTTTATTTATGTTGCGATTGCTTGCAGGGAAACAGCTAATGCTTCGCATAGCAGAGTTGGTACCCAGACACCCTGGGAGGACCAAGAAACAGGAGCCTGCTGCTGCATCGACCTTGGGTGCTGTACCTTCAAAATCTGGGAGAGGTGGAAAAAAGAAGAGATAGCTTCACTAGTTTGTGTTTCTTCCCCGTTGTCAGTGTTAGGCCCTAAAATTTTTACATCAAATATTTTTTTTTTTTAAAACCCTCCATGTTTTTATTAGTCACCATATTTTTTTTTGTTTGGAATGTTTAAAGATACTTTTTTTTTTCCCCTGAAAAGAGCAGCCGCATTTTTGTGGGGATAGAAATTGTGGTAGTGAACTAGTTCAAAGGAAATGCATAGTTAACACTTAATAGTGCAATGTGTAAAATTATCCAGTAATCTTGGGAACATGCTGACATGGTGCTTCCGGATCAATAAGAACAATGGTCATGGGATAAATGTTGTTGGCTTGATCCACATCGTTGGATGATGGGAGACCGGTTGCGTATGAGTTTTGGGCATGTCAAAAGTTTCTGTGACAATTTTCAGCATGTGCATTGGCAGTAAAGCTTGTGCACATCCTATATGCCTAGTAGATCTTAGATCTGGTAGGTTGAGAAACTCTACAATGAAGTGAAATGGTACCTATATATATATATAGGTAAACATATGTAAGTTGGCTGAAGTTAAAATTAAAACCAACTTTGTCAATTCTGTTATTATTGTAAGGCTGCAAGTTGTTTTATGACATTACTTGCCACGAACACAAAAAAAGGTGGTTATGCGATGGACCTGCCAACCATAGTTCTAATAAGTGCTAGTCAGCTACTTGTTTAATCTTCCTCATGACTCCCTTCTGTGAAAAGTCCAAACTCTCTTTCTTTCTTTTCCTTTACGTTTTTTGGTGCATTAAAAGTTGTAATTGATAAGGGGAATATGTCATATGATAAGATGAATTCTTGATCTTTTAGTGGAGTGTAAGAATTTTTTGCTAATTGAATTAGTCGTAGTCATTTTCTCTCCCTCAAAAGATATTGAATATTTCACTTTGTATTTTGTAATGGTCAAAAATTAACACAAAAGTGCAAAACTATCTACCTTTTCTATTACTTTATGGGCATGTTTGATTATAAGGATTAAAGCATGGGATTGGGATTATTAATTCGTGGGTCCAATCATCCTATGTTTGTTTTGACATTTTGGTTTAGGATTATTAATTCAATGGATAATTAATCCAACAAATTTGTAGGATTATTAGTAATGGGGTAGGGGAGGGATAGTTAATACCACACTAATTTGATAGGATTATTAATACCTCATTATTAGTGTTGTGAATCAAACATGGCCTATAAGGTAACTAGAAGAGAAAGAGGGATTGGGGGTGTACTTTGATGCTAGCAAATGATTGGGTACCTTCCTTGGTGCGAACCTAGTTGGGATTGTGGGGTGTATTTGGATGTTTTTTGCACCTCCTTTCTTTATTGATGTTTTTTTTATATGTGATGTATGTGTTTCTCATCAATAAAGTGTTTTTTTGCTAATAAAAAAAAAAAAATAGTCATACAAGTGCAAAGCCATATAAGATAATAAGAAAAAAAAAAAAAGAACAAGAGGATGTGCAACTTGAAAGTTAGCATTTGTTTTAGTTAACCATGTATGTGTGTACCAAAACCAATCATTTTCACCCCTTTTTTTTTATTTTTTTAATTTTATTTTTATGTCAATAGAGCAATAATTTCCAATGTAATAAGAGCATCAAGTTAAATGTAAAATGATGCATGCGTTATGGATGAGGATGAATGGGCCCATGGTGCTTGGTGGGGATCTATATCTTAGTGGCTTGTCCCATCATACATAAAGGATGAACATATCCCTCTCTATATATATTTATACTTTCTAATGAATAATTGTTCTTGTATTTAATACATGGAATAATTGGATAGATTAATTTATTTATTTTTTAGTACATTTGAGTTGGGGGGGGGGGTTGGAGGAGAATCAAAATTGTAACTTACACACTTACCACTAAATTCCATCAATCACATAATAGTCTTAATAAGGTATACAAAATTTAATCATCATCACTCATAAGATAGGAAGAAAAACAAAAAAACTCAAGATGTAATAAAAAAAAAGTATAATATATTATAAATTTGAATTTAATGTAATTTGGCCAACGCCCACAATTCTTTCTTTCTTTTTTTTTAGTAGGAAGAAAAACAAAAAAAAAAAACTCAAGATGTAATAAAAAAAAATATAATAAATTATAAATTTAAATTTAATATAATTTGGCCAACGACCACAATAAATTCACACACATCCCACAGCTGAAACTTGCTTGTATATGGGTATCCCATCATTGTAGGAGTTGGACTTCGAATGTTTAAGCATTTTTGTTTAGAACCAAATGAATCAGGTTAGATATCACAGAAATTGTATGTAAAATTAGATACAATTCTCTTATAAGTGATGGATCTCACTTTTTTATCTGACTTATATTGAAATATTTTCAAAATATTTAAGATTCTCTCATTTCGAACTAATATGTTCTTTTTTTTTGACATCATTACCATACTTGCAAATATATATTGCTGATCTAAAAAAGCTCCTCCTAACCTCAACATTATTTATAGGCCTTTTTCCCCAATCCATGCATGATTAAATGTCTCTCAACCATTCTCTCTCTCTCTCTCTCTCTCTCTCTACTTAAGTATACTCAACAACGAGGCCCTCTTGCTCTCTATCCTATATGTATTGTTTGAGATCTCTTGGGAGATCATCATCAAGGCATAAGAATTGATGAGTCTTTATCAAAATCTAAGCCCTCCTTCTCACCTATTCTCCCAAGAACTTCAACATAGGCTTTACCAAGCTTTTATATTTTCAATACCAATCCTCTTTTCCATAATTTTGTTTTTTTTTGTCTTATTTGTTTTTCCTCAAGAGGAGGTCCTCTACCCTCTCTTCTACTCCCCCATTACTTCCAATTATTCTGAATCATCATCATGCTACTTCTTTTTCCCCCTTTGTGTGTGTGTGTGTGTGTGTGTTCATCAACAATATATATTTTGTGATGCTCATCTTGTGTACAATAATATCCAGCTGCATACAATCATTTTGCCAGATAGTGGAGTCATAGATGCATGCAGAGTCCAAGTATATGCTATAATTTTACTTCAAAATTCAATCTGATTTTTAAATTTTTGACAAAATTGCTATTCATACATAATTTTTATATAGAATTCATCAGGATGTGCTGGTAGCATTTTGTAATTAAATGTTATTTATATTGATGCTTAATTTTAAAATGATAAGTCTCCATGCAAACACATCATTCTGTATAGTTTTTCTATAGATATATTTCAACTTTTTTTTTTTCCTTTCTTTATTTACGTAGTGTTTGCACTGACTTCAGAGATGGGGTTGAAGGGAGAGCTGAAAGAAAAGTTTCCAGTTGTCCTGTTTCATGAAGGTTTATGGGAGAAGGACTCACAGTAAGTTCTCTTACATTTTCTTCATTTCTCCATCTCATACTGCAACCTCATAATTGAAGTGTGTTAATTAAGGTCTTGATGCTAGAGAAATTAACATTGTTATGATCATAATTGTGCTTCTCTATAGAGAGTTCCACTAGATCAATCAAATTTATCATGATGAATACAATGCAAAATCTTCTTCTTTTTTTTTTTTCTTCTTCTAAAAGAAAGTGCACATGATACAATTTATCATGATGAATACAGTGCTGTTAAGATTGTATCTCAAAAATAGACCACTTACAAAGTTTGTCTCAGTAAACACTTGGAAGTGTTTGACATGTATAATATATCGCCAAAAGCACAAAAAATAGTCATGGATAATTATTTTTGCAACCAATCATGACCTTCATTGATAAAACTACTTATAAACTTTTATCTTTCTCCATAGACAGTTAGAATCTCTAATAACATCCACTATTTTTCAAGAAGTGCACGGCTCTAAATTATTTCAATTAGAAAGAAAGTATTCAAACTAGTATAAAGATCAATGGCATCTTAAAAGGGTCTGCATATATATTCCCAATATAAAAATGAATAATAAAAAATTAAAAATTTTGTTAATGAGTTCACCAAAGGTCTATTTGGTGTAATTTCTTTCAAATTAAAAGTTGATAATTAAAAAAACATAAGTTGAAAGTATAAGTATCCTTCTTAACTTTTCAATAACTAAAATTTTCAACTTATTTAAATTAATTTTGTCGTATTAATTATAAGTAGAAGTTACACCAAACAATTTTATACAAATTTTCAAAATAAGAAAGTTATATGCAACCCAATAAATTACACCAAACAGGATGTAAGGATATTTGTTAAAAAATTTAAATTAATTGTACATTCTTCATAAAAGTGTGTTTCTATAAAGAATATACAAATTTTAAACTTTTTCTATCAATACCCTAAAAGATTAAAAAAATTAACAACAATGATTTATCTCACTAATTTAGGAGTACTAATTGAGAACTAATAAGGTGAAAATTCAAAAAAAAAAAAAGAAATTAAGGCCAAACAACACATCAATGAGTGGGCCCACCTCCTAGAGCTCTTTTAGAGTTCATAATTTAAACTTCCCAAATATTTTTCTAAAATTAAAGATAGAAATTAAAGAAAAATGAGTAAGAGCACTAATTAGTGCTATCACTAATGATGTGGCAGTGGGCCCCACCATAAATGATTTGATGTTTTGACCTTAGTGTTGTATTATTTTTTTTTTTATTGAGTGCCATGTCATTAGTGGTCTTTTTAGAACTCCAAAATTAGTGGTCTCTATCATTGTTGGAAATTAAAATGACTCCTTACTCCTGTCCTTGCTTCTAGAGAAAAGAAGACATGCTAGAGGGCAGAGAAGGAAGACTAATTAAAATACTAATTTCTTTTTCTGTCATCAAAGTTGTAAGATTTGAAGAATTTTGAAATGGGCCAGTGTACCACTACTATGCATTGTAAGTGTGATTTGGTAGCAGATACTGTCATCAAAGTTGTAAGATTTGAAGAATTTTGAAATGGGCCAGTGTACCACTACTATGCATTGTAAGTGTGATTTGGTAGCAGATACTGGGGACTAATAATCAAAAGGTTCCACAAAAAAGACACAACTATGAATAAACGAATTAACGAAATGATTAGATCATTTTTTTTCTTCTCTTGCTTAATACCTTTAGACGGTGGGTGATTATCTCTTTCCCACTACGAAATAATAATAATAATAATAATAATAATAATATAAAGAAAAAGTGATATATATATATATATATATATGCAATTAGGACATGATCACTTTGTTCTTTTGAGATACAGAAGAATCTCTTCTGTCATTCTCATCTAAATTTGGGTACTAGAACAATATTGCTGGGGTGCAGTGAAACTGATCATTCTTGTTATTGTGGAGGCGTATTTTGTGAATGATAGCACGTGGTTAAGGTGACGTCGAAGTGTCAGTCGATGTACCACGTGGCTTGGTCATGCACCGAGATGATCTTAGCTAAGCCGAGGTTATCTATGGAGACACCGGAGTCCAAGGTAAGCAGATAAGGGACAAGAGTTCTAGAACAGAGGAGGATCTCAGTCTGGGTAGAGGTAAGGCTCGAGAAGAGTTTATCTTTATCTAGATGAAGGTCCAAGATGAACATGGAGCCTGAGTCCATTGAAGTGAGGCTTCTAAGGGGATCAAGTCACTGCTGGTTATAAAAGTGAGGCACCCTCGTGGGTCTGAGGTAAGTTCTTTCTTGTGAGTTTAAGCACTATTTGCTATTTATGAGAGATATTGATTACTGACTTGACTATCGAAGTGCCATAGGTGGACGAACCACCGCCAGATTCTCATATCTTGTACAGGTTGTTAGGCTTAATCTATTCTGTCTGTGCTATCCAGCTGAGTTCCCCGTTTGATTGTGTAGTCAAAAATCAACACCCACAATTTGGCGCCGTCTGTGGGAACTTAAGGAGAATAGGTGGCCAATAACGGGTAAGGAGAAAAGATCGGGGACGATGTCCCAGGTGTGATTGGAAAACATGCCGATCCTAACATCGAGGAAGAAAACCATAATGAAGAAGCACGGGATCAGAATCCTGGGGAGAATGACGTCGGCAAAGAAGGAGATGCCCCAAAGAAAGCAGGCCGAGATGAGTATTATAACGAAAGCGACCTCCAGGTATGGAAGGACAGATGCTTGAAGATGGATGGCAAGATGAAGGGGAAGGCAAATAAGTTGGCAGACCTACAATCAGTTGTCAACTTCATGATGTAGAACAACGTAATGCAACCACCGTACCCGTTGCAAGACACATCGATAACAGCGGCTAAGACCGACGCCCAGAAAAGAGGGCAGAAAGAAATCCCAGTAGGCCCTCAGCATGACAAGGAGAAAGAATGTTCACATCGGTCTTCACAGGATGTCGGGCGAGCAGAGTCAGTAAGAGGTGAGTCACAGAGGATGCCTCGTACCAAGGGAACCTATGTCAAAGAACATCGGTGTGACAACCCCACTATGTATCATATTTGGCATTTAATTAATTAAGAAGATTTAGATTCTCAATTAGTTATCATTCTGATTTAATTTAGGATTTATGAGAATTTTAGAGTCTGATTCGTAAATGATTTTAATAATGATTTATTTTGGAATTAGAAATTAAGGGTTCAAATGGCTTAAGGAAGTGAAATTAATAAGTTGAATCGGTTCAATTTCGAGCACTGGACCATATGGGGGTTTAATTAAATATTCGATTCAATTCTGATTCAGTTTAGTAAAATCAAGATTTGATTAATTGGGTCCAAATTCGAATTAATTAAGTCAATTTGGTTACAAGAATTAGTAATTGTGATTATTTTGGATTAAATTCATTTATGAGGTGTTTAATTTGAATATGTAAATTATTGACAAGGATTTTAGGTTTGATTTTGAAATTGAAGGCCTTAGTAATTTATGAAACCAAAATTGATGATGATAATGAATTTAATTTAATATTCAGAGCCTTTGGGGAGTTTAATTAAAAATCTGATTCAGAGTGACAAAATTAAATATAATTAATTGGGCTATAATGGAAGTCAAATTAGACTGATTAGATTATGTGTGATTTGTGATTAGTTATGATTAATTTAATTATATGCTAATCAAGATTTTTTTAGGCTAAGTGTTGCTTAATTAAATTAATCCTAAGCATGAATTGCATTATGGAACAACTAGAATTTGTGGGTGTGGGTGCACTGAGAAATTTTGGTCGGTGTACTGAGAAATCTGGTTGTGAATGTTGTGCTGCAGCTTGGATCAATGTGCACGTGTGTAGTGTGAATACAAGTAGAGAAGTTGTGTGTGTGTGTGTTTTATGTGCTGGTGAACTCAATGGGTAGATGTAATTCATTTGTGTTACGACCCAAACCCGTCCCTATGGGTTTAGCACCGTAACCGGACAGTAATTCGTGATTACCGAAGGCCTTCTTAACAGTAAAGATAGTATTACAGAGTACAGGGGCTGGCGGGAGCCAAAACAGTAATAAAAAGATGTCCAATGAGCTGTGACAGTCTGTGTGCAAAAAGCCTTTTCATACATATTCACATTCATAAGCAAAATAGTATGTAAATACATATACAATCATCCAGGACAGGGACCTAATCCCTATTAGAACAGTACAATACAAGTCTATACAGTGCTACAAAACAGATACATAAGGGTGAACTAAAACACTCCAAAAAGCCCTAGCTTGAAAGACTTGGAACCTCGCAGTGAGGCACATTGGTTGGCTTGACAAAAATGGAGCTAACCCGACGCTCCTAACTCCGCTTCGGTGCCTGAACACCTACATATAAATATAAGCAGTGAGCTAAAGCCCAGTGAATAACATATGCATAAAGGGGTTAAGAATAAATGTCTTTTCAGTATTTAAAACAGTCATTTAAATCAGTATATCAGTCATTCAGTCATAGCATTCATATGTGGTACATCAAATAGCAAAACAGTACAGTAGGTCTTAACAGACCGAACAGACAGTTGATGACCATCATATCAGTAAACAGTAGTGGTTCCAAACACGGGAACCGACAGAGATCTCTGTAACAGTAGCAGTAACAGTACACTAACAGTAAATTGCTATGGATACCACGAATACAGTTCACAAATAGGACAAACATTCATTTAGTAAGAAATATCATTTCAGAAGCAGTACAGTTGTTCATTTAGAAAATATTCATGATTGAACATATCTTTACAACATTGTTACTCACAGAGTTCTGGGCTACAGATAGGCTAGTGAGCGTCCTTGGATGCCAACCCTACACAGGTACAGGATGAACACACACTAAGTTACACACTTGGGAATCAATGACTTCGTCCCTACTTGACTTGGTGTGGTTCTACATCAATATCCTCATTAAGATGTCTTAAACTAGGCCTAGGAATGCTTAGGATGAAATGAGGATGCAAAAATGCACTTTAAAACATTTTTCAAATTTTTGCTAAAACAGGGGTCCCGCTCGAGTGTGGCTTTCTCCGCTCAAGCGGACATGCAGACAAAGGAGCTCCGCTCGAGCGTGACTTTCCTTGCTCGAGTGGACTGCAAACTCAGGCAAAAGTACTAGATGCATGAAATTCACGCTCAACGGGCGCTTGACCTCCGCTCGAGCGTGAGACACAAGTCCTCGCTCGAGCGTGCATTCCCTTGCTCGAGCGGACTGTAAACACATGCAAAGTACTGGATACACGCATTTCACGCTCGAGCGTTACTTTCCCCGCTCCAGCGGACTGCATGAACTCAGAGTGTATGCTCGAGCGTGGATTTCCCCGCTCGAGCGTGGATCCAAAATCTGGAATTTCCAGATTTGTCTCCAAGCACAAAACTCAATCTTTAAAGCATCAAATTCGATCATTTTGGGCTAATTTTCTGGAAAACACTTTAAAACTCATAATACAACATGTTTTAAAGATCAATTTGCAAAATCAAAGCCCAAAGGTAGTTCAATTAAGCACAATTTTCATCCAAAGTTCAAGAACATAACTTAAATGTGACATGCATGTATTCAACCAAGATCAAAGCTTCAAATACTTGTTCAAAAGAGTCAATTCCCTTAAAAACATGATGAATTCATGGCCCATAGCAAAAATATGAACATGCATGTAACAATTTCGATGAAAACAACCTCAAAATGCTAGAACATGTACATGCATGCATGATTTAGCTCTAAATTCCACATTTTAAGCCATAACTTGACTCTAGACTTCAATATTCTTCTAAACCATGCAAGAACCAACTCAATTCATAAACAAGAAGGTAAAAGCTCTACCTTAAGTCTTCAATTTCAAGTATGGAAGCTCAAACTTGCTATTATCCTTCAATTCCTCTAAATTTCAAGCCAATTCAAGATGAAATCACTCTTTCACCCAATTCTCTCTCTCACTCGGTTAAGGTCTTCAAAATGGAAGAAGAAATGATGTGTTTAAGTGTATGAATTGAGCCTCAAGATGCTAATAAAGGTGGCCCACTAGATGGTATAGCATGTAATTAACCTTGGGTCAATAATTTAACATTATTTAGTCTAATTTAATCAATATAATCATACCAAATCAAATTTCAATTAAATTTACCATAAAATCACATAAATTCAAATTAACATAAAACACTAATCAGTTTCGGATTCGGCTGTCGATAAGGCCTTCAATTTGCAGTTTAAAACATAAAACATGAACAGATCATTTAGCAGTCAAACAGATAGACATGCATTTAAACTAATACACTCACTCAATCAGTTCAGAATTTCAGTCAATTAATTACTTAACATGCTTAATCATAGATTAGCACTAATCAGTGGCGAGGGTTGTCACAATTTGACCCAAAACATTTTGCAAAAAGAGAGAGAGAGCACCAAGAGTGAGAGTGAGAAAGAGAGATATGGTTCTAGTCAACACCTATTTGCTGGAAACGTAGAAGTAGAGCTAAGGAAAAGCAAGGGAAAATGAAGAAAGGATAAAAGACTCAAGAAATTCAACCATTGAAGACCTAAGGTAAGAAATTGAAACTTAGATTTTATAAATAATTTAACTAAAAGCTAAAATTAAGAAATAGTTGGGTTCAATTCCATATAAATAAAAAGAAAATGAGCAAGATGATGAGGAAATGGAGTTAGGTTCAAATTTATGAAAGTTAAATTGGGAATTAATTATGTTGAGTTTGATTTTTGTAGTATTACATGAGTTTGAGTCTAATCTCTACATGCATGAACATATTCTTCAATTTTGACACTCTAATTGTACATGCATCATGGATTTCTAATAATTGATTTCATGTTTTGATGAAATAAGAATTTAGCTTTGGAAATTTATGGGTTTATGAACAATGAGCTTAATTTGTAAACTAAAGGAGTTTTGATGTAAATGATTTAAAATTGATCATATTTTCTTGATTATGTAAGAGTTTGTGTGGTTTTAGACAAGCCATGTATGAACCCAAGTCTTGAAATTATATTTTGAAAGTTCAATTCATGTTTTAGAATTTGTGGGTTTGGAATTGGGCTTGATGTGAAGAAAATGAATTAAATTAAATTTGGACAAATTTGGAGATGGATTATAATTTATATTTGAGAATCAAAAATTAGTTTGATTTTAAATCAAATTTCATACATGCAAATATTTTTGAAAGGGCTTTATAGCTTCAATTTATGTTTCATAAAATAAAGAAAGATGATTTTTGAAACATGGAGAATTTGGCACCAAATCACACATGCATACATAATTTTATTGAATCTCATGAATTTGAGTGTCATTCCTACCATTTGAGATGAAATTAGAGTCTACATTTCAAATGCATGCACAATCCATGAAATGTAGAATTGATGCGCATGAGTTATGAAGTTATGGAAATGAATTTGAAATAAGTTGGGGTTGTATGATCAATCCTTGGAAATTTGAGATTCAAATCTTGTAAAATTGGCCCTTATATTCATGTTAAAAGTCATATGGTGGAAATATGAGTCTTATGATATTAATTATATTGGTTGGAACCAAGTTTTGAAGCTCAAACATAATCTGGAAAAACCCAGAATTCGACTTGTCCGCTTGAGCGAGGAATATGTCGCTCGAGCGTGGAAATCGAGCCCTTAGAAGTTTGCAGAAATTTGTATTGTCGCTCGAGCGGCAAAGTGTACGCTCGAGCGAACCCTGTTTTGCAAGGCTTCTCGCTCGAGCGTCGAAAGTCTCGCTCGAGCGTAAAATACAAGTAATCAGTACTTTTACAGACCAAAGGGGTCCGCTCGAGCGGCCGAAGCTATGCTCGAGCGAAGAGCCCTGTTTCAGAAATTTTAAAAAGTTGTTCTATACTTCGTTTTCCGTTCTCTTTCATTTCAAAGCACTTTTAGGCATGCATTAAACATTTTAAATGAATTAAAGAACATGAAAGAAGCCTAAGAGAATTAAACAAGTTAAGAACGGAATAAATTGTATTGTGACCCGATTTCTACGTGTGTCATGAATTGTGTAGGGTCAACTACAAGAGTGAACCAGATATCTGAACACTGTGAGTAATACTTTAGTAAAGATATGTTCATATATG